GGTTCATAATTCATTATTGCTTATTATAAGGATGTGGAGTTTAAATCTGTAGACGTTTAAATAAAATATGGATCTTAGAGATCCTGTGGTCAAGCCAATTCATTTTACAGATGAGCATCGTGGGTCCCAAACCACACAAGCCTGCAGGTGAAAACAGGGTCGCAGAGCAGGAGTTAGTTGACTGGTTCCCCTGGTCCTGCTCTGGGGGGGCTACAGACCCATCACATTCCCCCCTCCCAAAAATAGTTTGGGAGCAAATCTCCAGGAATGTTTCTTGTGGACTCACGTGTATCAAGGACACTGATTTCTGCATCAAAGGCATTCATGTCCAACCTGGCACATAACAGGCAATCAAATAAATGTGTTGGGTGAATGAGTCAATGAATGACCTCAAAATTGGGTGCTGCGGCCCAAAGCCAAGGCAACTGAGACTGACCCTTAGGGCATCATCTTCTGGAGCCACCAGTGCCATCATCTTTGCTCACAGCCAAGCAGCTGGCCCCAATGCCTAGTGTCTTGCTGTTCCCAGATATCTCAGTGAAAAGCCTTTGATTCAATTTTCCCTCCCTCTCTTATAGCTCTCTTGCTCTAGGACTCCACTGAGGGCCCCGGAGCTGCCCTCCTGCTGTTACCTATTATCCTTGAATAAGACCAATTCCCCTTCAACTCTGCTTCTCCTTGGGACAAGTTGTTTTCTGAGAAGCTGCTTGATCCTGCAGGTAATGAGGTCCTGGGGTGGAGAGGGCACCCTAATGGGGCTTCCAGACTGGTTCAGAAATGTCTAGACCCAACCTAAGCTACCTTGTCTGTTAAATAAGGATGGTGCCACATCGGAAAGAAAGAGAGACAAGCACTTTGCTGCTGTCTGGTGGAGCAGTTTGGGGCCCCTGTTTAACATTTGCAGGGCTTCACTTAAGAGGAGGGCCTCGCTGGCCTTGGCCACCATCCTGAAATGGCTCTGCCCCTTCAATAGCTTTTGTCAGTTGAAAGTTTTCTCTCCATAAACATCCACAGGGTGGAAACCCAGTGAAAACCCCTTTTGTAATATTTAAATATTAAGTCTCAGCGTGCACTTTGGAACAGAGGACAATAAATTACAACTTACCATGTGCCAAAAATTATACTTAATTGCATATCGTATCAAATTCTCACAACAGTCTTAAGAGGGTTTTATAATCCCCATTTACAGGTGAAAAGTGGAGACAGAGAGAGTAAGTGGCTTGCCCGACTAATGGGCTGAGACACAACTCAAATCCAGGTTTTTCTCCTGACAAAGCTAGTGTGTCTTTCTCTTAGCATTGTCCCTTCCAGAGAGACCGTTTTTTTTCTTTAAAGCATCCCACGTCGCACAATGTCAGCTAGCGTTTTCTGTGGTATTAATACTGGGATCTCATACAATACCACACTCCCACCATAGTCTGAGACTCTGCATAATGCACATGCAATTAACCTGGAAAACACAGTGTTCTAACCTCCCATGTAGAGAGAAAATCCTCAGAACCCCAGAGCGATAGTTAGGCCACGGCAAATGCCATCCGATCGCCCAATCCAAGGCTCAGCCTAAAACCTCCTGCAGGCTCTCACTCTAAAGATAACCCAAAAGTTCTCACAGCTTCCTGGTTGTTAAAACAACAACTACAGTAGCAGGAATTGAGACCTAAAGATCAGTGGGGTAGAAATGAGGAAGGAAATGAAGTAGCATGTTAAATGACTATTTTTCCCTAACTTGCCCTGTTCTTTCTAGATAGAACCCAAAAACTTGCATAGTTATAGTAGGATAATTCCATTGATCAAATGCTGAAAGTTTTCTATCAATTTCAAGATTATTCATATCTCTATGGACTTTGAAGTCTAGAGTGCGATAGAATTCCTCCTTCTGTCTAGGCTAGGCAGGGTTGACACAGGATCACTCCAGCGGAGGCTTTTCGGAAGCCACTGCGTAAACTGTCCTAGGTCCAGCAATTAAAAAAAAAATGTGTCTTTATAGTTCTCTGCTTTTCAGAAGATCTGATCTTAATACCCTTCTATTCTTTTTGTTCCTTTCTGATTTCATCAAATTTATTGCCACAGTTGGGCACAGTGGCTCATGCCTGTAATCCCAGAACTTTGGGAGGCCAAGGCAGGAGGATCGCTTGAGCCCAGCAGTGTGAGGCTAGTGAGCTAGGATCACATCAATGCACTCTAGCGCAGGTGACAGAGTGAGACCCTGTCTCTAAATAGATAAATGGTTGTTACTCTGGTTCTTTCTCTCTCTCTCCCCAAACTTTTTCTACTTCACATCAAAGAGCTTCCCCATTTCCCCACTTCTGGGTTTGCTCCCTGGAAGGCAAAGTTAGCTTCCTTCCCACCCACTTTTCCAGGCACACAGGGTGCCCCTTGGCCAATGAAATCTCCACCCCCAAGAGCCTCTCAGGATTTCAGGCTGACAAGTAGTCGTAGGAGACATGGTTTGGTTTGATGTGGTCAAGTCGGTCCTCACTGCACCTTCATACTCTCAGCCTCAAACCACTCTCCCGCTCACCACCCTCACTTTCCATTGCTTTGGATTATCTTTCATCAGTTTACCGCCAGCCTCCACAGCCTCTGCCAGGGTGCAGCCGGGCAAGAAGGGCAGTACGTTTCCTTCCCTGGGTGAGCAGGTCGAGTGTGGGCTCTTGATGGGGAACAAGAGAAAGAGAAAGCAAGAGGCTGCAAAGACTGTTGCTACATGGTTTCCCCTAAGTCCCAGAAATAGAAAGGCAGACTTCCGAATCGCACAGCCCCTGTGCAAACCACCAGACCACACAGCCAGATAAGAAAAATGTTAGATTGTGTCATACTTCCTTCATCTCCTTCATCAGCTCCAGTTTCTGAAAATGGCCCTGAATTTCAGAGAGCCTCACCACAATCCAGGGATGTAGGGGAGCTTGAAGAGGAGGACAAAGGCATCAGGCATCTCTCTTTTCTGGAGTAAATTTATTTTCAACCGCAGAAGTAAAGGAAAGAAAAGATCATGAAAGATTAGGCATGAGCTAACTTTCTTAGTTGCCTGTATGAGAGAAAGAAATGAACCGGACATCAATAGACGTTGAGAAAGGGGATCTGCCAGCTAGCAATGTGTCCTTGGCCTTTTCAATTCACATGTGTTCATTTATTGAATACCTACTGTGTGCCAGGCACTGTGCTTGGTGCAGCAGACACAAAGGGGAATAAGACCCCTTCTTGCAGCATGAGGAGGCTGGGCTAGATTCAGATTCACCCAGATTCCAACTCTGGTGCTCAGCGCCACCACCATCATGGAAATGATTTTGCCTGGCTCTCCCTGAGCAGCCTCAGCGGGACTGCCTGATGTCAGCCGCTGCAGGAAGAATGATGGCCCCGGTGTTGACAGGCTCCTAATTGGAAGGTAGGAGGTGCCGCTAGAGATCAGCTATAAAAGATATCTTTGGACCGGGGTGGGCTGCTAATGCTTGGGAGAGACTCAGTGTGAGGCCTGTGAGCTGTCACCTTGCGATGGGACCTGGCCCAGCACACAGAGGATGCGTGCAAGGGAGACAGCTGACAGGGCCCGCGTGGGGGGGAGCAGCCATTTCGGGGAACGGCAACAATCCAGGACTTCGGGACTCAGCAGGGCACAAAGAAAGGACAGCTTAGTGGCCCCAAAGCCTAGGATCAAAGAGGCAGCCCCGGGAGAGCAGCTGATAAGAGCTTCATGGTGCAGACAAGGGAAAAGAAAGCCTGGAGTATCTTTTTATTCAGCTAATAAAGCACCAACTTCTGCACACTTACAACTGTTCCAGGCCCTGAGGGGTTCAAAAGAACCAAGTTGGAAGAATTTAATATCTAACTAAGAGATGATCAAATCCGCACACTGAAATTATTGCCTGGTAAGACAATACTGCGTGTGTTACATAACATTGGCGCTTGTGCAAGCTCTTTCCTTGCGTCATCTCATTTAATCCTCTCAACAACCCTGCACGATGGGTACCATCATCCCTGTTTTACAAACGAGGGTACTGAGGTCTGAGAGGCTGTGTATCTTACCTGAATTTGCCTGGCTAGTCAGTGGCCGAGCTAAGATTTCACTCCAGGTCTGTGGGAGCCTCCAAATAGCCTGCAGCTCCCCTTTACAGGGTTATAATGGTGCTGCACTGGGCGAGAGGGAAAGGTGGTGCAGGGGACAAGTTCCAAGGGAGGAGCTCAAGGAGGGAGAGGGAGTCATGTGTGAACAGGAACAAAGCCAGCTTCTTGGGGTTGGAGGGTCTGTTGGAACCAGTTCAAAGCTGAGGATGGTGAATCTCTTCCACGTCCCGGCCAGAGGAGGAGGGTCTCGGTTAGGATTTGGGCCCTGCAGGGCTTACTGTCTGGCACGGCAAAGAGGACGACCCCCGACGGGCCAGGGATTCCACACAGAGCACATCTGGTGTGAGGGAGCTCACTCCCAAGGGCGAAGGCATCGCCCTACTAGATAGACAATCAGGCCATCAACAGGCCCAGCCCTCTAAACTCGGGGTTTGCAACACCCTCAAAGAACGGCAACTGGCCTTGAGCAGAAGTGAGAAGGAAACACCCCCTCATCCCCTGAACCGTGGCGTGGGCTTTGCTATCCACCAGGGCTTGCAGGTGTCCAGGCAGAGAGAGGAGGTGGCCCAGGCACCAGATGTTAGGGTGCCAGGGCCTCCCCAGAAGGAACAGGTGCAAAGCGAGCAATTAGCCCAGAAGGCATCAGTGGGGCAGCGCCCAGATCTGCTCGGGGAAGCCACCAGGATTACGTCATCCGCTGGTGAGCAGGTTTCATTAATCCTCAGGCGAATGGAGGATTGCGAGGGAACTTTTGTATTCTTCTTCAAGGAGCCAGAAGAAGTGGTAATTAAACTTGTCTTTTAAAATAAAAAGATTCCAAGGGGGCTACAAGCCTTCAGGCTTCCCCCATGGTGTTCCAGGCACTCTGGCTTCTCAAGAGGGAGGAAGAGCGTCTATTCATAGGCTGTGACTTGGAGAGGCCCCACGGTGAGTCAGGCATTCACTGCGTGAGCTGGTGGTTGCTAATGTCTTCGGGAACTGTTAATTTACCCATCTAATTTGTTCCTCTACACCGGCCACAAAGGGAGGCCACTCAATTATTCTCATACAAAAGAGAGGCTGGTGTTTACCATGATCTCCCCAGCAACCGTGCGTGCGTGCGTGCGTGTGTGTGTGTGTGTGTGTGTGTGTGTGCTCACGTGCGCGCATAACAAACTTAGGCAATGAAGGGGTGGGGCTGCTGTCCTTGCTAGCATTTTCCAACACATTCCAACTGAGTTGAGGGTTAAGATTGTTATGGAGGGCCTCAGAGAAGCCTTGGCTCCCAAGCAGGTTATGACTTGAAGAGTGTCTTGAAAAAACCAGGGTGAATGGAGACCGATGAAGGGGAGCAAACATTTGGGAGTATCTGATTTGTGCCAGGCCCTGTGCTAGGGTTTCACGTACCTCATTGACCGTTTGACTTTGCACAACTCCCTTTTGAAGCAGGTATTATATTATACTTCTGTTATTCTAGGTTCTTGCCCCAATATTTCTGCTTAGAGAAAACCCACACTTCTTTAGGTCCCCTTAAAAAAGTGAATCTTCTGTGAAGCCTTTCCTGACTTTATCTGGTAACATGACACAAGCTCTCTTTTGTGCTCCCAGAAAATCATTGTGGACTTTAGGGAGATGGTAGCTTCAGTCTCCTCATCTGTAATCTAGGGGTACCCTTAGGGCCATCGTGAGGAGTAAATGAAATAAGTCATAGAAGTGCTTGGACAGTGGCTGGCACTTAGCCCTTGTTAGTCATCGTTGCTGTTAATATTAATAAAAGTAATGATAATACAATTACTTATTATATTGGTTTGCCACTAGGCTGTAAGGTCCTTGAGTATAGCAGTAGTGTCTACTGGTCCCCAACACCAACATTCTGAAATAGCATGCTTGGCCAGGTGTGGCGTCTCATGCTTCTAATTCCAGCACTTTGGGAGGCCGAGGTGGGAGGATTGCTGGAGATCAGGAGTTTGAGATCGGCCTGGCAATAGAGTGAGACCCCATCTCCACAAAAAATAAGAAAAAAAAAAAATTAGCCAGGCATGGTGGTGCATGCTTGTAGTCCCAGCTACTTGGGAAGCTGAAACAGGAGGCTTGCTTAAGCCCGGGAGTTTGAAGTTGAAGTGAGCTATGATGATGCCACTGCACTCCAGCCTGGGTGACAGAGCAAGACCCTGTCTCTAAAAAAAAAAAAAAGATAAATAGATAGATATATAAAATAAAATAGCATGCCTGGGTCTATTTATTCCCCACCACGGATGCTGAAGCATGGATAGCCACTCACAGCTGTGGGATACAGATGCCCCCAGTCACTATGAATGGGAAGTCCTGAATGCTATTGTGGAGCCTAAAACCCTGAAAACGTTATCGTGGAACATTTGGGTTATCAATAGCTGGATATAACTGGTGGCCTGGGTCTGGGACACAGATTTCCTACTTAATGCCAGGACACCTGGGCACTATTGCACCCATGGGGTCATCCCTATCTGTTTGGAATATACAACTCTCCTTCCACAATAACATAGGCTAGGAATATTATATTATCCTGAGCAGCCATCAGGACAAACAGAAGGGAATGTGGTCTTGCATTTCCAGTCCTGCCTTCTATGCCCAAGCTACCTTTATCATAATTAAAATGCCCAACAGGCAGCTCAGTACATAGTTAAATGTGCCCTCAAGCACCCACTCTACTTTGCACATCTTTGTGATGCCCTTTCCTGATGTCAACCTATGTCTCCATGACCTGAATCTGACTTAAAAGTTGTTCTGGCCCAGGGACCAGCCACCACATTGCAGGTGATGACCACAGTCCATCCAGACACTACACCCTGGAGGATGAGCACCTAGTTACCCACACCAGCCACCAAGGTGCCCCCTCCCAGAGCACAGCACCTTCCCTTAGGGGATCCCCCACTGAGCATGTGTCACATACCTGAAAGAGGTGGCCACCAGACAGACCGCCAAAGTTATGACTCTCTCTTCGTCCATCCTCCCCATTGGGCACAATGAACCTCATTCCTATTGTGGCTAGAACTTTCCCTTGTGGGCCTCCCAAAGCAAGCCTACTGCTTACAGCCATCCAATGGCTGGACCTCATACAATGTGGGGCCTGCTATCTGCCCCCATGAGCAGTTCGCCCCTTTATTTGCACCACAAAACCACCAATACCAAACACTACTGATCTAGGCCCCTAGGACCTGCCCTATCCTATGCGCGGCCAGACCGATGAGGCTTTGACTGATATTATCAAGTCTGGTCGCTGGCCCAGATCGTGCATCTATCCAAATGGACCTGCAGACCTTTGTATCTTCCTAGGCCTGCATAGCATGACCCGTGGCATGGCCCACCCCGGATATGAAAGGAACATGAGAGATTAGACACCCCAGAGGGAGCCTGATTCGCCCGTTCCACTCCCCTAGGTAACTCCTTTCTCATGTCCCAACTACCTAAGCTCTGACAAGCTCCTTAACATTTTTCTGACTGCTCTGCAATCAAACCCTCCTGGTCGCAGTCTGCAGTTGGAGACTTCCTACCCACCGCCTTGGGTATGAGTGTGAAGTTTGGGGACAGGGAGTGGGACTAAGGGCTCACAATCTGATCACACAGGGAAAACCACCAGATGCCGCAGAGAAAGGTCCAAAGTTCTATCAGCCCCCGTAACACAAAGAGCAGCAGCACTTACAGCTTTCCCTGAAGGGCAAAATCCCAACTGCCAGGGTGGCAGCTGAAGGACTAGCTCCAGATGATTTGCTAGCTGCCCAGGAGTGTGTGCCCCCAAAGGACATACCGTATGCTGCTGTATGCGAATAAATATTGCAGACAATAATCCAAATAGCCTAATGGAAGCACCACCAAACCCAAAACAAATTTCTCATGCAGTACCCTGAACTCCCCAGGACTTGGACATCCCCTGCAACTGGAGGTGACCTTGTTTCAGGGGGCCCTCCTGCCAGCAAGTGGACTTTACATACTGAGCTGACTATGCAAAATTGGTACAGTCTGCATATAAGTATATTAGCAAGAGTCTTGGCACAGAAAATCAAATATTAGGAAGTAAATTTTGAAGAAATTGAGTTGGGTGCAAAAAGTTGCTCCCAGTAAAATGACATTCAGCCAAACTGTTAACACCCACTGGGGCAGAAACCTTCAGATGCCCCAGCCCCACTCACGTCTGCTACATGCAAGAAAATCCACCCTTGCCCTTTTAGATCTCCTGCCCCCAGCTTGACCCCCACCAGAGCAGATCACTCGAAATTAATCTGCCCCCTATCCACTGCCTGTCTGTATTATTCAACAGGCGGGTGGGCTCCTGTCCCGTATCTGGGTCCCGAGGACCAGGGTCGCTCTCTTGCTCAGATGTCAAGGAGCCCTCCTGTCAGTGGGCCCCTCACCCAGGGACTCCCCTTGCAGCCTGTGCCTGCATAGGTAATAAACCTTTGAATTACTGAGATCACTGGCTCAGGTGTGGGGTGGGTTGACACCAAATGCCTTTAAATGAGAGAGAACAGCAGAGCAGGGTCCTTTCTCGGAATGCTGTTATGGTCTAACTCAGCGACTGCACCTCTACCCCTGACCCGCAGACCAGATCCTTACTTGGGTTGTTTCTTGCCAGACACACCTGCTCTGCTTTCTGGGTTAGTTAAGAAAACCAGCTTTGAAATCACTGGCTATTAATCCCTACTCAGTCCTTAGTAGCCCCGGGAGCTGGGACAAGCTTCTTAGCCTATCTGTGACCCAGTTTCCTCATCTATAAAATTATGATTGAAATACTTACTTCATCAGGGTGTTGCAAGGATCAAAGAAAACACTTTATGTAAAGCTCATAGTACAAGCCTGACACAAGGGAAGTTCTCAGATAGTCACTCATCAATGGGGCAACTGGATTTCTGCTTCCGCCAGGAAGCCTTCCGTGCCTATTCCCACTCTGATTTCTCCCTAATCCAATCTGATTGCAGTTTGGGTCAGAACCTCGCTGTTGATCGTGTATTTTTTCTGCAGTACATTTGTGTTCATTCTGACTT